GGAATTTCTAGCTTAAAAGAAAGGAGAGCTTGGATTTGGGCTTTGAGACAAAAGAAAGCCCTACAAGCGAGAGTCTCGGGCTTCCCCTGTCCAAACTGCTTTTTACTGAGCCAGGAGTGTTGAGCAGAAGACACTCTTCCATTCACACTTGTCAACATGCACAATATTGTGGATTTGGAAGGCAAAAGCAAAAAAAAAAAAAAAAACCAAAACTTTTTGCACAATGAGTACATATGGAAATTGCAATGAAGTGCCTTCATGCTCTGCCCAGCATAATCTCTGACCTAGCACCGCTCCAGGATCCCCGATCTGCTTTCCAGCTACCACTGCTCAGCTGATAAAGCTCATCTCTGAAACCATTCCCAGACAGGCCCTAAGGAAGGCAGCTAAGCAACTCTACAGGTAATGAATTTTTTTTTTTTTTTAATTATAGCTCTGGCCACATCTAGAATTAAAACAACATTCCTGCAACTTATCCGGTCACCGGAGACTGACTCAACGCTCCATATAATGATGCTGCTGGCGGCCACGCTGCCAAACTCTTACAATGCACCGACTGACCCCCAAAAATGTCGGTAGCAAGAGAACCCGATGGGAAGGGCTGGGAATCACAGCCGTGCCCCGTGACGGGGGTCACAGCACTGTGCATGGGCAGAGGAGGGCTGCAAGCGTGTTCCCGCTCGGTGCTATCAAAGCCCCCACGCTATATTTTTCATTTTCCAACTTAAAAAAAGGGCTCAGAGCTTGTTTCAGACGGGCTGTTTGCAAATCCTTTTCTCAGAGGTTTCTATAGGTGTTGTTACGGCTCTTTTCAGCACGAGAAAATGGACAAATAACATCAAATGCAGGTGTTGTTTGGGGAAAAAAACCCAACTTTCAGTCATCTTGTCTATTTGCAACCACAGAGCACAGAATGTGCGAATCTGCCACTGGCTTCCCGGGTAATTGTGTTCCATTAATGCCCCTGCTCTTGGAGGAATGAAGCGTCTCATCTCTCCAAATTACTCCTGTGGATTTAATTGAGTATCGTCTGCTTCACGTTAGCAGCTTGCCTATGGCTCATAGGCGGGAATTCACCCCAAAGGAAGCTCCAGGTTTTTGGTGACTAAAGTAACAAAGGAGCAACACTGAGAAATTGAAACTTTTTTTTCAGCTGGAAGAAAAAAACACCTTTTCGCTCCTCTTTCCTCTGCAACTTTTATTGCTATAATTACTTCTATAGTTTGAGCTTTTAAATGCTTGTGTTCCCTGTCCCTGCACTCGATGGGGCGTCTCAGGTCCCTCTTGCTCAGTGCAGAGCAGAGATTTGGCTTCTGTCAGACATTTCAGCCTAATACTTTCTACCCCAACTAGCTGATTTTCTTTTTTCTCACGCTGGTTAATTCCTCCAGCATTGCATTGCATGAAACTTTTAAATGTCTTTAGAGATGTTTGACCCTTCTTGAGCCATCACAGAAACGGTGCAGCAGAGCAGGCAGCACATGCAACAGGGTGAAATAGTAATTCAACAAGGTCTGCAAAAAAAAATACAAGAAAAATCAACAACTCGAATTGGCTGGGTTTGCTGCTAGACTAGGCTTTGCCAGGCTTGCACCTTGCTGCCCGTGCCCCAGCTTTGCTCGCCGTGCTGTTGCTGAGCCTGCCCCTGCCAAGCGCCGGTGTCATGGGAGTGTGGTAATGGCGAGGAGCTGAGGTGGTGCTGACGAAGCAAACTGCTCGTTGCACAACCAACAGGAGCCTCGTGCCGCTCACGGGTTAATTTTGTACTAGCAAAAACCTGCCACCTACCTAGGATATTTTAAAAAAAAAAAAAAAAAAAAAAAGGTACAATAAAGGCTTTACATCTGTTCCACTGAGACTTCTAGCTGGGAAAAAAAAAAAAAAAAAAAAAAGGATAATTTGACACCAGCTGTAGTATTCTGCATAGGTGAAGGGCCTTTGATCAAAGTCCATAGGGTACAGGTTCAGCCAGCATCACGTGGGACGTGGTTCTCATAATCCCAGTATCCCTTGTCAGCTAGAGCACAAAAAATTGTATTGGAAACAACAAAGTTTACGAATGAGATGAACGGACAGCAATATTTAGATGTAGCTCGTTTCGGTGTACCATTTATCAATTGGTGCTCTAATGGGAACTGCTCCCCCTTCCTTTTTCCTATTCCAATGGAGACATCTGCATCTTTGCAGGTTGCTCCTCTGATGTGGGCTCCCCGAGCGAATAATTCCCCCATTACGATGAATTTGGAAGACTCCTGACTGTATCTGCTGTCACGAGAGGTCGGATTTACAGCCTCAAACTGTGTTTAGCTTGTAATTCATACGGACTTCGGCATTTCTTTCTCTTCCAGAATAATATCCTATTAGTCACGACAGCCAAATGTGCCACATTTGGGCAACGATTCAGCTTCTTTGGAGCTCCCATCAACATCAAGTCCCACTTGGCCGGAGCGGACTCTTCTCTGAACGTGAGAACCGGACCACGGGGACCTGCTGGGCTTGGGAAAAAATCTGATTTTCTATGGAATTGCTCCATCCAACTCAAAATACCATACTGCAACTTAAAAGAGGGAATGAAGGTAGACACGAGCATGGGGGGAAATGCAGGAGGTTGCACCCAGTGGCGTCTTTCTGATCCCATCTGGATTTTGTCGGCTGCAAAGTCTTCGGGAGCCCATCGGGGCACAGTTAGGGTGCTGCAAGCACAATGCTGACCAGGGCCAGGATGAAACTGTTGTTTTCCCAACTCCAGGGAGAATTTTCTCTCCTCCAGCCCATGCTACGGTTGTGCAGAACGCAGATCACCTCCGCGGCTCCGCATGGCACGGGCAGGGTCCGAGGAGCGGTTCTGCCCTCCCAGCTCGGTGAGATTCCTTCCAGGGAATGAATCTTATCGGAGGAGAACCCTTCCGATTGCTGTCCCCCTGACAAGCAGCACTAAAAAAACCTCTAATCTCTGGCAAATTCTCAGAACCACTTTGGAAAGGATTCAAAGCAGGGAGAGGGCTCCGCAGCCCAGCAGCTGGCCGGAGCTCTGTGCAGTATTTTAGAAAGCTGACGAGGAACCTCCTGTGCAACGCGTGAAAGCTGATCCCGAAATGCGGATTATGCCTCCCTTAATTCATCCTGCAGAACGATACCTCTGCTACAAACCCCGGAGCTGAAACCCCTTCCCGAGCAAAACCTCAGCCCCAACAGCTGAACTTGGAAAAGTTATCTGCGTAAGGAATTCCAGCTCAGATACTTGTCTTGCAGAGCGTGAGATGGATGGAAAACGGATTCAAGAATGATGCCATTCATTGAGATCGTGTTTTGTGGGTTGGCTACTTGTATTTTCCCATTTTCCTGGTACTGAGAAGGACGGACAAGGCCAGTGCTGGCCAGTGTGGGGGCTAAGTGGCACCCCGCTGCAGGGTCCCTGCTTGTCACCAGCTCCCCACGGTCAGATGTCCCACCCTGAGGCTTTCTGGGGACCCCCAGGATGCGGCTGGTCCCCTGCCCAGCCCTGGCCCCTCCGGGGGTCTCGCAGGGACCCTCCTGCCAGCGGCAGCGGGCTCTGGGTATCATTTGGTTCAATTTTGCATTATCAAACTTCCTTGGCTCTTTCTATTGGAAACTTTTACAATTCTCTGCTTGGCTGGAAAAGATGACTGCAGCAAACCCAAATTAGGAATAAATTATACAACAACTTTACATTTTTCTTACAAAGGAAAACTGTGTGGCAAGAGCTGTGAAAGCACCTCCTTCCTATGTCCTCCCAGCAAGGCTTAGAGTAGAAGGCCACTGACTCCACAGATGTCTTAAAAAAAAAAAAAAAAAAAAAAAAAAAAAAAA